GGGGGGGGGATCTTTCACCAGGGGGGTGGTCAGGGAGGAACCAGCCATTCAGAGGTGACGCGTTGCAAGGGTCTGCAGGTTTTCCCTCTTGAAATTCAACGGATTTTAGAAAAAGATCTGTCTTATTGCTACCCCGAATGCTGTTAAGGTGTGTGTGTTTTTCCTACTAGCTGAAAATTATGAGTGTCTTTTCTTCCCAAAGTACAAGCGATCTGTTGTCCTCTTTGAGTGCTGTGAAAATGTGAGGTGTTCCTTGGTCAAGGATGAAGAAATAGTCTAGTGGACAAGGGTGTCTCAGCTTTTATCACTAAATTTTTATTTTTTAAAATAAATGAATAATACAAACACCATAAAGTACACAACCAACTGATATATAAACTTTTACAAAGAGAGTATGAGGTATAACCAGATAAACTAATTACTATGACCTTAGAAGAACTATTCACGGTGGGCAAGGAATATCAGTTTGTTCAAAGAGATAGTAACACAACTGTACATACAAAGTTCTAAGACATTTCTTTGTGATATTGTTGAAATACAAACACAAAGCGAGTGATATAATATTCAAAATTGAGATGGATGGTTAGATTGCTAAATTATACTCTATATGTGTAGATGTTTGGAAGAAAGCGTAATCAATACTATTTCCAAATCTTAGAGATGTCAAATATTTCAACACGACCAGACTGTGTAGATGTTAGATAGAGAGTTAAATGTGAAGAAATTTGAGGTATATTACTTTGTGTGGTTGTATGTCATTACCCAGTACATTCTCTATGAATGGTAACAATTTTTGAGAGAAGCGAGGTTGTTTGGGAAAAGTTCTGTTTATCTGATATGGTCCATAATCTTCTCCATTATGAAGAGGTCCCAAACTTTGACGAAGCAATGTGGGAGCTAGATGAGATTTCTAGTTTAAGGCTATACATGTTCTTGCTGCAACAATGAGACTTGAGATTAATCCTCATTGGATAGATGGAATGGAGAGGTCAGGCCAGATATTAAGGAAGAGAATCTCTGGAGCAAATGGGATCACATATCCCGTTATATCTTGAATTTGAGAGAGGACTTTTTGCCAGACGTTTTTATGATCTCAGACACACACACACACACACATATATACACACACATCCTCTGAGTCCAGGTGAAGATCTGGAGCTGGGAATGGTCAGGTCTGTAATAAAGTGTTCCCTCTAAGCTGTGCTCATGAGCGGCCGCTCATTAACTCAGGAAGCCCCACTCAGCAGCAGTCTGGAGCCACACAGGGTCTTGCACTGCCCATGGCCCATTTTAAGATTTACAGCACTTATATTCTGCTCAGGATATGAACTGCTCCGCTCAGAATTAGAGGGAACATTGGCCAACAGGATTACAGAACTGATTGTTCCCAGACTCCAGATTTTCACCTGGGCTCAGAGAATGCCAGTCTCTGAGATCATAGGCGCTGAGATTTTGGCACACTTGTGCTTAAGCATGGACATATATACCAAATCCAAATCAGTGATGCAGTGCTAAAGCATAGAACGTCTTTCTCTTGCCATGTAGAAATGTTCTCTGCTAGGTCCACCATGAGGCTCATATCCATGCTATGGGCTGCCAGTCAGCCTATCCTGGTCTAGACCTTCTAACATCACATCCTTCAGGATCTCTTCCCCGCCAATAGATCAAGAAACTCAAGCGTGTCAGCTATAGCATTCTTGCACTTTGGGCCAAGGGCCCGGGAATGCCTGAGAGCATGGACTCCATGCACGTGGCCCTCGTGTGCACCCCACGTTTTCCTGCTGTTGCACGTTATGAAGTAAATGGATGACTTTGGAGCTCCTGGACCCCCGTTACTGATGAAGAAGAAGAAGAGAGGAGATTGGATTTATACCCCGCCCTTCACTTGGAGTCTCCAATAACACAGATAGACTTTTGGGGAATCCCAGGAATACTGTTTGGAAGCCTCTGGTCTAGTAGCTGTAAAACGACCTTCAATTCAATCCAGTCCTAAGGGCTGTGTTTAAGGCAGGGCAGGCTCCACTTTCCCTATCCAACTAAGGCTTAGTAAAATGGTGGGTTCCCCCCCCCCGGTCTTATTTATAAAATCTCCAGATGCTCCGTTCTGCATATTTCAAGATTCAGACATGTGCACGCCTGAATACGTTTTGCCAAGCAAAGTTCTTGACCTGTAGACGTTTGGGAAGCACCAGTGGGATAATCTGCAGGTAAAGGTGTTGGGAGAAGTTACCGGGGCCTGATTTTGGACTGTGGAGTCACCTGCTGTGTCTTGTCGTGGCAGTCTGGATTTCTGCCTGGCTGAAGTGCCTGGTCCCTCCTGCAGGGCCATCGGTACCGGCTTCCGTGTGTGCCATGGCTAGCTTTCCACTAAGGTTCTGTTCTGTTTGTGCTGTTCTCGCAGCAAGTGGGAATTCTCTGAGGCTCACACATGTCAGTCCTAGAGCTGCTAATGTTCCTGTGGGCCCTACAAGTGCCCCCCCCCATGTTGTTTCATTTGAGTTCATTTTAGAGCACGTACGGTAGCTGAGCACCTAAAACGAAAGAAGACGGCAGCCCTGTGGTTAAGCTTTCAGTCTGAGAAAGGAAGCACATTACCTACGGGTGGGCAGAGTGGTCACGGGGCAGAGAGGTGCTTGGCAGCCTCCGTCGACTGGTACTTTCCTTCTGTGTCTGTTCTGCCCAGCTGAACGTGGTGGGAGGCCAGGGAGGTGGGGGTGGGGGGCACTGTTCCCTCTAAGCTGAGTTCGTGTGAGCTAGCTCACAGTTTTTTAGCCTCCGGCTCACACATTTTTGCCTTAGCTCGGGAAGGAGGGCTCCAGAGCAAACAAATTTATGCAGCAGCCAAATCGCTCGCTCACAACTTTAATGCCCATAGCTCACAAAGTAGATTTTTTGCTCACAAGACTCCACAGCTTAGAGGGAGTATTGCACTGTTCCCTCTAATCTGAGTTAGTGTGAGCTCGCTCACAGTTTTTTTAGCCTCCAGCTCACCCATTTTTGTCTTAGCTCAGGAAGGATGGCTCCGGAGCAAACTAATCTATGCAGCAGCCAAATCGCTCGCCACTCTTTGGCAACAGGATCTCAGGCAAGCGAGTGCTGGTGAAGACCCTCTCCCGGAGAGTCCCTGCTGGCCAGAGCAGACAGTAGGAAGCCTCAGGGCCCAAAGGTCTGACTCGTTCTCAAAGGCAGCTGCATATGTTCCCCCGCTGAGACAAAGGTTGCGCCCGTGACGTTCCCCTTTGGACTTGTGCAGGCAGTGCAGGACTAAGGACTGTTTCCGGGCTTCTTTTAGTGTTCCATTGAGCACAGGAGCCAGACGGCAGTGCAGTCGAAGTGGTGGGTATCCTGTGCGAGCGGTCTTGCAAGGAACAGGGCTGCCCTGAGCAGAGGCTCAGAAGGAAATGGCGGTGGTGGAGGTGGCTGGTGTGTCTGGGTGAGAAGGATGTGGTCTGGGTTCCCATTCATGCTTCGGCTACAGTTTCGCATTCAGGCTTCACTGCTGTGGTAAACCTCACATTTTCTTTTGGTGCCGAGAGGATGCCGGGAGGCACGGTCTCTTTCTTTCTCTCCTTCAGCCCCCCCAGTTCACAAAGTAAGTCTGGCTCAAGAGCCTCGTAGCTCTGCGTCGGATGCTTCTCTGCACCATCTGCTCATTTCCCCCGACACCTGCAAGAGCCCCTCCTTGAGACCAGTTTCTTCAAGCTGGTCAAGGCCAGAACTCTCCAATATGGGTGGTGCAGGGTTGCCACCGAAAATGGCATCCTTATGTCTTGAGGGCTGTCTGCCTTTGCCCTGCCCCTAACCCTGGGTTGGAACACGGCCTTATCATGAGCCCACTCCCTCATTATCGCCTCCCGGGAGAGTACTTACTACTTGCAAGGGGATGCCACTTTTCACTGGCAGTCCCGTGCCGTACGTATCTCCTGCCTGAAAGATGTAGGCACTCAGTTCCTCTTACAGGTCCTCTTGTTTCTTTACCATGTCAGATTCCGTGTGGGGTCTATGAGTGGCCAAGGGTCCATCATGTGATGGCTGGGGGGAGGGCACTCTGTCTGTTTTGCATATAGATAAGTGTGGTTCTCCTGTAAGCCATGATGCAGCCCAAACATAAGAACTTCCTAGCTGGAGCAGACCAAGGATCTGTCTCGTCCAGCACTTTGTTTCCAACAGCAGTAAATCAGCTGCCTTGGAAAACTCATAAGCTGAGCATAATGGGAGGTAGATGTCCCCTGAGCATCTGGTGACCTGGGGTATGCTCCCGCTGCATTTTGAGGTTCTGTTTATGGGGAGGAGAGAGTGAGAGAGTCCATTGCAGGCAAGATACGAGGAGTGTTGGTGGGCTGAGACGGTGTGGGTAGCTCTTCCGCCATTGCTCAATCCAACGCATGATCCTTCGTATCAACTAATTGCTGACTGTGCATCTGGTGGTGGAAAGGGCCCTCAAGTCGCAACCAACTCATGGCGACCCCTTATAGGATTTTCGAGACAAGAGACGAGCAGAGGTGGTTTGCCATTGCCTGCTTCTGCACAGCAACCCCGAGCTTCCGAGATCCAGCGGGCTAGTCTGGGCCATCCAGGTCAGGACCCGTGCATCCAATCCTTCTCTTTTTCTGTCCAACTAAGCTTCGTGGCCTTGGTACATCTTAGGAGTACTATACATAAAGGATGCACGGTGTGACGGTCGTTACGGGAAGTGGAACTGTGCACCGGTCCCAGCTTGATCTTTTTGTCTCCCACCCCAGGTGACCTCACCGGCCGTCTTCTTGCGTACGTGAGCCTTGGCCCCATTTTCATCATCGTTGGCTTTGTCACGCTCATCGTTTTCAAGAGGGAGCTTCACACGGTGAGTCCCCACCCCCCACCCCGGTGAGGATTTTGGCATTTGTCTCTTCCGCTGGTAGCCCTTATCCTTCTGTTCTCTCACCTCCCTGTTGCCACGGAGTTAAGCATAGCCACATTGTGCTGTTGCAGTAAAAACGGCAAAGATTCCCACGGCGCTCTCATTTTAACCCAAGCTTTTGTGGACTCAGAGACCATTCAAAATAAGATTGTACAGGGGTCATTTCGTAGAAAAAGAGGTGCAGGAACTCATTAGCATAACTTATTTGCATATGCCACACCCTCTGACCTCACCGGAAGTGTGTCAAAAGGCAACACCCACCGCTCAGGCTCCACTGGACTGTTTTGGATTGCTAGCTATTGGGGGGGGGGGGAGGAACGTGCAGATCTGTCCTCACAGAGGAGGGAGAGCTTGTACCTGAATAAAACTTGGTCTTAAAGATGCCACTGGACTGTTTTTTGGGGGGGGGCTCTGCAGCTTACCTGGCTGCTTCTTGCTCTGACTGAGGGCTGCTGGGAGCAGGGGGTGGGGCTTGTTGCATGTGCCCACCCCCTGGGCTCTTTACTGCCGGAGCTCCGCTCCTGTGCGCTCCTGCAGGAAATGACCCCTGAGATTGTAAGAAGAGAGTGGCTGGCCCAAGCCACTGGTCCCCCACAGTGACCAGCCATGTGATTCAAGAGGCCCACAAGCCAAAACACGGAGGCCAAAGCCACCCCATGTTCTTGCCCACCCAGCATGTGGTTCTCAAAAGTGTATTGTCTTTGAACATGGAACACGTAGCCTTTATGGCCACGGAGGGTCCTTTCCCCCAGGAATCAGTCTCATTCCCCTTTAAAGTCTTCTAAGCAAGTGGCCAGCATTGCGGCAATCTCTGCTCTTCTCTTTGACTGATAGATTTTAAAAATTTATGTACCTCTCCATCCCATTAGCTCAAGTAAACAAAAATACTCCCCCCCCCAATTGAACGAAGCTAAGATTCATTGGCATTTCCAATCGGTTTTTGTGCTAATGTAACCTGTGCAATCCAAGGCCAGCCTAATGCAGCAGAGCTTCTTCGGTGCTCCCCGAAGGATGCTTGGGTTTGGTCTCGGATATGTTTGCAGGAGTTCCACCTTTACTCATCTGTTGTGTGTTTGCAAGGCTGGAAATAGGTACTTTACGTCTTTTCTTTTCTTTTTTTCTTTTTTTTCCCCCCCAAAATTTTTATTTTGGATGTACATGTTCAACATTTAAAAACATTTCCTCTTCATATCCATTTCACACATTACCTCCCTCCCCCCCTTTGGTTGGCTTCCCGCAATGCTTCCCCCCGCCCCCAAACATTTTTGTATTTCAAGGTAACTATCTCTCTTACAGTTCAAACATTTCTACATTTCAACTCTAATAATTTTCTAAATACAATATCGTGTTTTTAACGTCCCAGTTTCTTTCTAAGTATTCTTTAAAATCTTTCCACTCTTCAAAAAAAGTCTTTATCTTCTTTATTGTTCAGCTTTTTCGTTATTTTATCCATTTCTGCCATATATAGGACTTTTTGTACCCATTCCCATTTATCCGGTATTTTCTCCTGTTTCCAGCATTGAGCATAAATCATTCTTGCCGTAGTAATTAAATACCATAGCATGTATTTTACGTCTTTTCAAAGGCACCCTGGTGCCAGTTTAAAGGGAAAGCAAATTCTAATTCCTAGGCAGATGTGATTTTCCCCCTGCCCTGGGATCATTTCCACTTTTGCTTCAGACAGATGACAAGTGATAGGGAGCCGTGCTTGAGTATCCATAACCAGACTGGGGGTGGCTCCTGAGGCTCTCTCAAGAGCAGAATCCTTTGCGTGGGGAGCTGGCAGGGACAGAACCTGGGACTTCATAAGGACACGAGGCCCGTGCTCTGCTGCATAACCATTCTCTCCTGTGCAGTCTTTCCCCCCTCGCCGTCTCACCCAAGTCCAGCCCATTTTGGAAGTGTTGTCATGCCTATCTGGGTTTTTTGGGAGGGGGAGTTCTAGCATTCAGGGAAAGAATGGGACTTTTCTGTGAATTTTAATTTAATATTGTCGTATTCTTTTGTGCTGTGCCGGTTGGATTGTTGATTTGGAGCAGTCTATGCACGTTGATAATTTCCTTCTAAATGGCACTCCTGTATCTGCCTGCATTAACTGTCCTCCTCCCTTTTGCCTCTCTGCAGATCTCATTCTTGGGGGGCCTGCTTCTCAACGAAGGCGTGAACTGGCTAATAAAGAACATTGTTCGGGAGACCCGGCCTTGTGCAGGTAGAGTATTGCCGGCAGGGAAAGGTGCAGCTGGGAGTGACGAGCGGGCCACCCTGGCCATCCTTGATTGATTTTAACGAGCAAAACTCTCCTAGGTTTGCAGGGCAGTAAAGAGGCCTGTAATGTCACAGCTCAGATAGCCAATATAACTAAAGGGCACAGCAATCAAAGAGGATCGTCTTTGCTTTGGTGGGGAGAGGAGGCCATTTGCCTTCAGGTGACAGAGTTTAGCCGGGAAGTGGAGTCGGCATCCTCTCGGCCTTTAAACCCAAAGTGCCATGGCAAGAGAACCCACAGGAGGTGGCTAAGTTGGACCGTGTGATTCTTCTTGGCCCTCTTTGTGCCTGTTAGAGTCCCCTGCCTGTAACGTATGTATGTATGAGGCTGCCTTTCGCATTCACTTGGAAGCTGCAGCTGATGGAGAATGCTGCAGGAGAGCCGCTAACAGGGATGTGCCGAAATCACACTAGACCGATTTTGCGAGGTCTTCGTCGGCTTCTGGTCAGTTCCCAGTTGCTGTTCCCAGTGTTGATTTTAGCCTGTAAAGTCCTGAACAGTCTGAGATGGTCTCCTGTGTGAACCTGCCCCTTGAGTCAGATCACCACCAGCGACCCTTCTCCCTGCCCTGCCTTTGGGGATCATAGAATCACAGAGTTGGAAGGGGCCATCCAGGCCTTCCAGTCCAACCCCCTGCTCATAAGAGCATCAGAGAACATAAGAGAAGCCCATGTTGGATCAGGCCAAAGGCCCATCCAGTCCAACACTCTGTGTCACACAGTGGCCAAAAATACCAGTGCCATCAGGAGGTCCAGCAGTGGGGCCAGGACATTAGAAGCCCTCCCACTGTTGACCCCCCCCAAGCACCAAGAAGACAGAGCATCACCTGCCCCAGAGCCCCTATCTATACCTTGTGGCTAATAGCCACTGATGGACCTCTGCTCCATATGCTTATCTAATTCCCTCTTGTAAGAACATCAGAGATGCCAATGTTGGATCAGGCCAGAGGCCCATCCAGTCCAACACTCTGTGTCACACAGTGGCCAAAAATACCAGGTGCCATCAGGAGGTCCAGCAGTGTGGCCAGGACACCAGAAGCCCTCCCACTGTTGCCCCCCCAAGCACCAAGATGACAGTGCATCACCTGCCCCAACCTGTGAGTTCCTATCTATACCTTGTGGCTAATAGCCACTGGTGGACCTCTGCTCCATATGCTTATCCAAGTCCCTCTTGAAGCTGTCCATGCTTGTAGCCGCCACCACCTCCTGTGGCAGTGAATTCCATGTGTTCATCACTCGTTGGGTGAAGAAGTACTTCCTTTTATCCGTTCTAACCCGACCGCTCAGCAATTTCATGGAGGGCCCGCGAGTTCTTGTCTTGTGAGAAAGGGAGAAAAGGACTTCTCAATGCAGGATCAGCCTAGAGCATCCCTGACAAGGATTTGTCCAGTGTAACGATTGGCAGAGAGGGGGAGCTCACCTCCTCCCGAGGCAGCCGGTTCCACTGTTGCACAACTCTGACTGTCAAAAAGGTTTTTCCTACGATCCAGCCGGTACCTCCCCGCCCTTAATTTATTGCGAGTCCCGTCCTCTGCTACCAACAGGAACAGCTCCCTGCCCTCCTCTAAGGGACAGCCTCCCTCCAGCAGTCCATCTGGCCCCTTGCTTGTTGGCATTCAGGTGCCACCCAAGGACTTTTTAGTCACCTCTGCTTTTGGTTCCGTGTTTAATTCGGAGGGGGCCCCCCCCTTTCTGAGTCCGAGGGCACCTTTTGAACTCTGACTCACTGTGCTGGGAGCAGCTGCAAAAACGGCTGCCGCAGTTTCCCTTCAGTCACACAGTGAAGATCCTTATGCTGTGGAGGTAGCCACTGCCAAACACTGTTTTCTAAAATTTGCAGAGCCAATCAGAGGCTTTGCTGGGCAAAAGCCCCACCTAGCCCTGCCCACTTTCTAAAAACAGGGTGGCAGGAAAGGTGTCAGTTGGCACCGTGGCACCCAGGGCCACCACACTGGAGACCCCTGGTTTAATTTATTACTGGCAGAGCTTCAAGTAGTTTGCAGCCGCTGCCCTGTTTTTTCTGGCTTCTTCAGTGCGTTTGTGGTAGCTTGATTGCCTCGTTCCTTCTTCATCTTCGAAGCTGGCTTTGAACATTTTTGGAAAACCTGGGGTGTATGAACATGTTAACCGATAACAGATGTATTCCTTCCCCTCCTCCTCAGAAATCCATCCGTCAGTGCATTCGAAGTACGCAATGCCTTCCAGCCACTCCCAGTTTATGTGGTTTTTCTCCATGTACTCTTTTCTCTTCCTCTATTTAAGGTAAATCCTTTTTCTCTCCCCCCCCTTACGCTATCCACTGGTGCTGTTCTCTGGGGGTTTTTTCTATGAAAGGCTGTGTGGTTTTGAAAAGTATACCTCCTCTTCCTGCACGCATCTTACTTTTGCATTCAGCCACGTTCTTGGAGGGAAGAGCTGGGAAGTGTATTTTTTCACTCCTTGGGTGTGGCCAGGGGTAATTTCCTGCGGGAGCGCACAGGAGCAGAGCTCCGGCAGTAAGGAGCCCAGGGGGTGGGCACTTGCAGCAAGCCCCGCCGCCTGCTCCCAGCAGCCCTCAGTCAGGCCACAAGGAGCAAGAAGTAAGCAAGTAAGTTGCAGAGCCCCCCCACACACCTTCAGGTACAAGCTCTCCCTCCTCTGTGAGGGCAGATATGCGCATTTCCCCCCCCCCCATACCTAGCAATCCAATACAGTCCAGTGGAGCCTGAGCGGTGGCTGTTGCCTTCTGACACACTTCCGGTGATGTCAAGGGGTGTGGCATATGCAAACGAGTTATGCTAACGATCTCCTGCACCTCTTTCTATGAAATGACCCCTGGTGGCAGGTCTGATCTTTTTGTGGTGTGAGGCGGGCTGGCTTTGCAGTTGCTCCTTCCTCTCCGGACCAGGTGTGTGGTTGCAAAGGTCGTCTGGCTTTGGAACTCTTCTGGTGCCAAATAGAAGGCAGAGAATCAGACCAAGGGCCACCTAGTCTGCCTGTTCCTTGCAGTGTCTAGCCAGCTGCCCTGACCTGGTCGGCCCGGGTTAGCCTGATCTCGCCAGGTCTCAGAAGCGAAGCAGTAGTTAGTATTTGCCAAGGAATTCCAGGGTTGCTACGCAGAGGCAGGCAATGGCCAGCCACCTCCGAAACGTCTCTGGCCTTGAAAACTGAAGACCCTCTGGGGTCGCCACAAGTCAGCTGTGACTTGACAGCACTTCGCACCCTAGCCAGATGCTTCTGGAAAGACCACAAGCAGGGCATGAAGGCCGCAGAATTTCCCCTCTGTTACGTTTTACTCAGTAAAGCCTCCATTCCAAGTGTAAAGACCCATTAATTGACCACAAGACAAGCCAGCTTAAAACAACACCTCTCCACATCTGCATGCGATATCCGCCTCCTACATCCTGGCTTTCATATACCTCCTTCCCCGGCAACAAGTCCTCTTAAAGCAACATACGTAAACACCACACCCACACCCACACACCGTTTGGCTCCCGTATGAGCTGGTACTCAGAGGTCTACTGCCTCTGAACATGCAAGTTCCATTTAATCATCATGGCTGTTAGCGCTCGATAGATAGGCCCTTCATGAGTTCGCCTCGTCTCCCTTTGCCGTACGCCCGTGGCCATCACTGTTGGCAAATAAAGCAACATACGTAAACACCACACCCACACACCGTTTGGCTCCCGTATGAGCTGGTACTCAGAGGTCTACTGTCTCTGAACTTGCAAGTTCCATTTAATCATCATGGCTATTAGCGCTCTATAGACAGGCCCTTCATGAGTCTCCCTCTGCCCTACGCCCGTGGCCATCACTGTTGGCAAATGTGCACGAGTGGCGCAGCCTTGGTCATGAACGTGTGGGACTGAAGGATCTTGTGTGAGCGTGCTAGTGAAACGTCTCGCCTCCTGGTGGTCCCTTGGTTGTCAGGAGGACAATGGAATGGGACCACCCCGAGACGTTTCTGCATCCCCAGGCATCTGGAAGATGTAACGTGAGAGCCGAGAGAGAATCTTGGGGAATGTCCCAGGGAGCATGCTCATTGCTCCCCGACTCCCCAGAGAAGTCGCCATTTTTTGTTTTTATAATACATTTTTATTAAGGTTTTAAAATCCAGAGGGGTAAGGAAGGGAAAAGGGGGATTTCACGTTATATACAGATATTTATTTATTTATTTATTTCCACTTATACCCCACCCTCCCTGCATGCGGGCTCAGGGCGGCTTACAACCGTAAGGCACAACGTGCGATAAAATACAATAAAACAGTTTAAAACAGTTTATACATGGGACACGCCCAAGAATCTCGCATGACGAAAAACCCTCTCTCCATATTGCACATGCCCCATCCACTCCAGGGGAGGTTCGATTCCAGAGGATAAGCTGCGAGATTTAAAAGTTCATTCAAGTCTTCTTAATATTATATTATTAAAAAGTTCATATATTTATATTTCTCTCTTACCCAATTATAGAATAGAGTCCATAGTAGGGTTGCCAGGTCTGGGTTGGAAAATACCTGGAGACTTTGGGGGTGGATTGAGGAGAGGTGAGGTTTGGGGATAGGGTTACCAGGTCCCCGGGGGGGGGGACCCCCGCCGGCCCGGATCGGGCCACCTAAAAATGTGTGAGCCAGAAGCTAAAAAACTGTGAGCTAGCTCACACTCACTCAGCTTAGAGGGAACATTGGCCCCACCCCCAACATGCCCGATGCAATGATGTCACCTCCGGGTGATGTCATCACGCCGGGCACATCTCCGTGCTCCCGACACTTTGGGGGTGGGGTTCCCCCCGCTGCAGCCAAGGTAGGACTTGGCAGCTCTATTTGGGGAGGGGTCTCAGCATGGTTCAAGGCTATAATGTCCATCCTTCAGCCGTTTTCTCCAGGGGAGCTGATCTCTGCCAGCTGGAGATCAGTTGGGAAAGCGGGAGATCCCCAGGCCCCACCTGGAGGCTGGCAACCCACGTCCATAGTCCAGCAAAGTCTTCTTCCATTTGCCCTTTTAGCATCAAGGTCAATTTATCCATTTCCGGGAAGTCACCAAATGTTTGAGGATAGGTCAGCGTCAGTTAAATTGGGGGAGGGGAACTGGGGGAGGGAACAGGGCCTTGTAAGAACTCCACAGCACCTGGCATCAAAACAGAACAGAACTGTATTGGAACATAAGCCAGGCCCGGTCTGGGCACTGCTCGGCCGTAACCAGGCAGCAATCCACAAAGCAACTGAAAAGTGAAACTAAACTAAAGGCTTTTACTGTAAGGGATCATGTTCAAATACCCATACCATACAATAAGAGAATGGCAACGAATTCACAACTGCCCACGATATAATTGGGCCTCATTGGGCCCCTCTCAGTTTATAATATCTTGGCAGGAGGCTAAGACTGGCTCTAATCCCCTCCCACCACCAACGTGACCAGTCTAGGATACAGTAAGCTTTTCGAGAGACCACTCTGAAGCTAAAAAGAGTCCTGGCTGGAGGATTAATTAGGATAGAAAGAAAAGCACTTCCTCTGATCCCCTGTCCTGTCCTCCAGAACTCTTAAGCGGAGGCTAAAGCTTCTCTGCCTTTCTCAGCCGAAACTCCTCGTTCGCTCGCCTTTCTGTGCCACACAGAAAGGAGAAGTCGAGCTCACGCAGCTTCAGGGCTCATCGATCAGTCCTACTGGGGAATTCTGCTGTAACGCTGGACTGCTGAGGTTCAGGACGGGGGTGGGTAGGGGGTGAGCAGGAAGCTGTTTGCAGAGCCCAAGGATTCAGCAGTGTTGCATTACGGTATGGTCTGGAGAGCTCATGGTTCCTGGTGAGCCCCTGCAACTTCCAGTCTCTCAGTCTGACACTGCTGTCCACGGAAGCTGATGCAGAGAGAGAAAAAGTCGCTAGTTCTGGGGCTGGCAGGCAGAAAGTAACCTGAATACTGTCGGCTAGTACCCCAGAGGAAGGCGAGGTGGCAATTACAGCGCCAGTGAGATGGCAGGATTTTGCTTGGCCCTGGACCACTCCCTTTCCTTCCATGGCTTTCCTCATCTCTTTTGTGTCTCCTTCCCTTTTCTGTCAGTGCCCGGAGAATTTAAGCCATCTTTCTTTATTCAGTCATGGTGGGAATCAGGGGTCATTTAGTAGAAAAAGAGGTGCAGGAGCTCATTAGCATAACTCATTAGCATAACTTATTTGCTATTGCCACACCCCCTGACATCACTGGAAGTGTGTCAGAAGGCAACACCCACCGCGCAGTGTCCACTGGACTGTTTTGGATTGCCAGCTATTGGGGGGGGGGGGTACGAGCAGATCTGTCCTCGCAAAGGAGGGAGAGCTTGTACCTGAGTAAACCTTGGTCTCAAAGGTGCTACTGGACTCTTTTGGATTGCTAGCTATGGGGGGATGCACAAATCTGCCCTCACAGAGGAGGGAGAGCTTGTACCTGAAGGCAGGCCGGGGGGGGCTCTGCAACTTACCTTCTTGCTCCTCGTGGCCCGACTGAGGGCTGCTGGGAGCAGGGGGTGGGGCTTGTTGCATGTGCCCGCCTCCTGGGCTCCTTACTGCCGGAGCTCCGCTCCTGTGGGCTCCCGCAGGAAATGACCCCTGATGGGAATAGCTCCCTTCTGTTTCACGGCCTTTTAACACATCCTACAGGCAATCCTGACCTGACCTGGATGGCCCAGGCTAGCCCGGTCTCATTAGATCTTGGAAGCTAAGCAGGGTCGGCCCTGGTTAGTGCTTGGATGTGAGACCACCAAGGAAGTCCGGGGATGCTATGCAGAGGCAGGCGATGGCAGACACCACCTCTGTGTGTCTCTTCCCTTGAAAACCCAACAGGGTTGCTGTCAAGTTGGCTGCGACTTGATTGCAAAAACCCCAGGCAGTCCTGCAATAACGGCTCTTTGGCAAGGAGTGGTTTTTCAGCTTTCATTGCCCTGCCAGTCAAAGGGGCTAGAATTGTGTTCCATTCACATCTATCTTCTGTGGGTGGTCTAAGGCTTGGATTGAGAGGTCAGACTTCATTGACTTTCCCTTTGGGTATCCTGACGTTCTGCGTGCCACTGGCTGAAGCCAGGTCTCCGGCCCACGTCTCCTGTGAATGTTGATTTAACATAAGAGCATAAGAGACGCCAATGTTGCATCAGGCCAAAGGCCCATCCAGTCCAACACTCTGTATCACACAGTGGCCAGAAATACCAGGTGCCATCAGGAGGTCCACCAGTGGGGCCAGGACATCAGAAGCCCTCCCACTGTTGACCCCCCCCCAAGCACCAAGATGACAGAGTATCACTTGCCCCAGAGTCCCTATCTATACCTTGTGGCTAATAGCCACTGATGGACCTCTGCTCTATCAACATATTGATAGTTGTGCTCCCCTTTGCCTAAAAAAAATTCTACAGTGGCTTAAAAACCAACCGGTAAAACCAATAAAGATCAGCATAAAGAGCCACCAAGCTACAGCAGACTATAAAACAACATTTTGTAATAAAAGCAGAGCACAATAAAATAGGTCAAATAATAAAATAGCAGCAAAAGTAAATAATAGTAGCATGGGGGAAGTGGAACAAAATCAACAGAGGGACAACGAGAATTTTTTTCAAAAGGCCTTATCTGGCCCCCGAAACCTCGTGAGCTTGGTGCCAAGTGAATTGGTGGGGGTAGGAGGTCCAGAGCTTGAATCTGGTAGCTGTCGTGGGATCCATCAAGCTGAGAGGCATTGCTGGTTTTTTTAAAAAGCCAGGTTTCTAGTCCACATAAAGGAAGAGGCAAGAACATTTTAAACGTGTTGGGAGAAAATGTCCTTGATCAGCGTGATTGTATGATTCCTGCATTCACTGCCTTCTTGCTCCGCGTGTTGCGCTGTATGCTGTCGGTGTCTTTTAAGTGTACACCTCAAAAAGGTATTGCACAAGGAGCTGTAAAACTAGGCAATCACGTCTGTGTTGCATAATATCTAGACACTGGTTGTTGTGGGTTTTTCGGTCTTGCTTCTCAGCAAAGAATAAATAAATTGGTTCCGCAGAACTGCTCCCGGGAGTCTGAAATCTAATTCGAATGGCTCAGAACTCAGTGCCGAACATTCCGTGGGGCGGAGAGCTCTCAGCTGACCTGTGGCCAGGCGTGGTGGAGTGGAAGCTAACTGTTGCTACCCACCCTCTGGTCCCCATGGGTGGGAGTTGGAAGTTAATAGCAGGCTGCGTCGGGGGTGGGGTTAGGCTTAAACTAGACAGGATGGGATGCTGATTTCCTTGCTTGGCGAGTGCTTCTGCCATTCCAGTTCAATCTCTTTGTTTCCCAGAATGCACCAAACAAACAACGCCAGGTTCCTGGACTTGTTGTGGAGACACGTGCTGTCCCTCTTCCTCCTAACAGTGGCCTTCCTCGTCTCATACAGCAGGTGGGGAGTCTTTGTTTCTCACCAGCACCTTCGGGATACAGATTCCAGTGGGCATGAGCACACTCTGCCTCTGAACATGGAAGCTCCATTTGGCCATCACAGCCGGTAGCCATTGATAATCAGCATGGTGTGAGGTCCGGACTGGGAAGACTGAAGTTTGACTCCCTCCTCCACAACAGAAGCTGGGTGGCCTTGGGCCAGTCATTCTCTTAGACTGATCTGCCTCACAGGGTTGTTGTGAGGACCAAATGGAGAGGGGAATGGTGCGAGCAGCTTTGGGGTGCCTGTTGGGGAGAAAAGCAGGGCATAAAAATCTGAACACCTGACTCCATCCATCCTGCCTTGAATTGCCTTTCAAACCCATTTGACCCGGCAGCCGCCACCGCATCTTCTGGCGACAAATTCCGCCTAGAATGCCCGACTAGTAGCTTTCATTGGGTGACCCCCAACTGTAACGTGGGGATCATTGTGAGCAACTCCAACAATGTGGTTGGGGAGACTTCAGCGGCTGTTGGCCAGGACTCCTTAGAAGAGCTTGTGCTTGGCGTGCAGAAGGCTACGGGGTCAGTTCTTGGAATGGAAAGGATCTTCCCGTAGAGGATAGAGGGGCCTCTGAGTGTTCTCTGTTCATTTCCCCCCTTGGGAATCGTTCAAAAGACACGCTGGCAGACAAAGCAGTGGCCCTTGAAGCTGAGCAGGTCTGTGGGTGGGCTGCCTGGCTGTGCGCTTGAGAAATGGGGAGGCTGGCTGCCGGCACAGAAGACTTCCCTCTGTCATCGAGGGAGGGAGGGACATCTCCAGTTAGAGGACCCGGCAGCAGGTGACGTGAAGGACCTCTGCCCGAGCCACTGAAGAGCCACTGCCAGTCTGAGTAGAGAAGATTGACTTGGGTGGACCCAGGGTCTGATTAGGTGTTCATGTGACCATGGTGTAATCTCTCCTTGATCGCTCTTCTCCTGTCTTGGCCACACAGAGTCTACCTGATGTACCACACCTGGAGCCAAGTCGCATATGGAGGGGTCGTGGGAAGCATCATGGCTGTCGTGTGGTTTGTCTTCACACAGGAGATCTTAACGCCGCTGTTCCCACGGATAGCTGCATGGTAAGTCCTCACACACACACCCTTGGGCTTTTCCTACATTAGGGCCAATCTGCACATTCAGGTAAATTGAGGGGTGAAGCTTTCCTTGTGACCATGTTGCCAAGGGTGTATGTAGGCTGCAGATGTGAATTCTGCTCCTTTAGAAAAAACAAATTGGTGCATATGGAAAAAGTAGCATGCTGGGGATGGGGGGGGGAGACATGGCCCATGGAAAATCAGAATGCTGGCTGTAGAGCATGTACTCTTGTGTCAAATGATATTAGTAGATGCCAAATGACATTAGCAGACAATGGCAATAGCAAGTAAATGACAATAGCAGGCGTGATTGGATTAGGTGTGCTATACAGAGGGGGTAGTAGGTGTGGAGAAATGAGCATTGGTAATAAGACAGGAAACCTAGGTCTCGGTTCAGTCCAGGTGGATGCATTGTCCTGAGCAGGGGTCATTTTGTAGAAAAAATGGTGCAGGAGCTCATTAGCATAACTTATTTGCATGTGCCACACCCCCTGACATCACCGGAAGTGTGTCAGAAGGCAACACCCACCACTCAGGCTCCACTGGATGGTTTTGGATTGCTAGCTTGTGGGGGGGACGACGTGCAGATCTGCCCTTGCAGAGGAGGGAGAGTTTGTACCTGCATAAAACGTGGTCTTAAAGGTGCCACTGGACTGTTTTATATTGCTAGCTGGGGGGGACACACACAGATCTGCCCTCACACAGATCTGTGGGGGGGGGGAGAGATGGAAAGAAGGAGGGAGAGAAGGAATGGAGGAGGGAAAGAAAGAAGGAAAAAAGGAAGGAAAGAAGGAAGGAAAGAAGGAGAGAAGGAGCAGGGGGTGGGGCTTGTTGCATGTTCCCGCCCACTGGGCTCTTTACTGCTGGAGCTTTGCTCCTGTGTGCTCCCGCAGGAAATGACCCCTGGTCCTGAGCTTCATTATCAGTTGTTATTGTCATTTGCCTGCTCATAGCATTCGGCATCTGAAATCACTCCACTTTCCAATATATAGGACAGATGGACTCACATTCTAGCTGTACCTAAACGAGTGAGCGGTGACTCACGAAAGTTCCTCCCCTGCCACAAATATTGCTAGTCCTTAAGGTGCTCCTGGACTCTTGCTCTTTTCTACTGCTACAGACAGACTAACATGGCCGCCCATCTTGATCAATCAGTGTAGACACTATTCCTTTAAAATAAATCATACTGCTTTTCTTCTCTAGTGAGTCCAGTGGCCTGGCACACTATGTGTACAGAAGGCAGGCGTGGGCCATCACTCAGTGGTAGAGGATCTGTTTTGTATGTGGAAAGTCCCAGGTTCAGGCCCCGGCACCTCCAGTTAAAAGAATCTCAAGAGGCCGGCTTTGGGGAAGGTACTCCTCTGCCGAAGGCCCTGGAGAGCCACTCCCAGTCGGAACAGGCAGTACGGAACTGTGTGGACCAGAGGCAGGCCCGTAGCTACCATGGGGCCTGGCCCCCTAGCGGTTGTTATGGGCCCCTTCCCAAACCATGGCTCCCCCTCCCCCCGGGCCACCTCCCCCCGATTGCTTGTCGGCAATGACCTGAATTTATAGTCTGTCCATCTCATAGCTGCGGGACGGCAGAATTTGAAACAAAGATCACTCTGTTTATTTAAGCAGAATTTTGATGAGATGAACATTTGAGATGATCACGGAGATAACAATAGAAGTGTTAACACCAGGCTGGGCTTGTGGGTGGCCATTCTTACATCCAGGCGGATTGGGTCTCTGCTAGAACATAAGAAGCTGCCTTATATTTATTTCATTTCATTCATTTATTCAGCTGAGATCCCACCCCTTTCCCCACCAAGCAGGGCTCAGGGCAGCTCCCAACAGTTAAATATACAGCATGATCATCATGATACAATTTTAAAATCCAGATGTTACAAATTAAAAAAAACTTACAGTTAGTCTACTATGTCAGCCGCCCGGCAGGGCTCTTTTTGTAGCAGGAACTCCTTTGCATATGAGGTGACACACCCCTAATGTAGCCAGTCCTCCAAGAGCTTACAGTAGCCCCTGTAAGAAGAGCTCTGTAAGCTCTTGGAGGATTGGCTACATTAGGGGTGTGTCGCCTCATATGCAAAGGAGTTCCTGCTACAAAAAGAGCTCCCTATGTCAGATAAAGCAAGGGGTTGGACCAGCCTCCCTCCAGCCCTTTTGAGCATAGTGAGTGTTTGCTGGGCTGTATTTTGTCAGGGCCCTTGTGTCAATTCCTTACAAGTAAAAAAAATGGGTCAATGCATAGTAATGAGTTCTAGGCTCTAGGAAACATACACGTAACTTTGTCTTTCCTGTCTCTCTCTTTCTCTCCCCCCCCACCTACCCGTCCTCCTCTTGCTGCTAAAACCGTGGCTCTTCCAGGCCGATATCAGAGTTCTTCTTAATCCGAGATACCAGCCTCATCCCAAATATCCTATGGTTCGAATACACAGTCACCAGAGCAGAAGCAAGGTGAGGATTGGGCCGAGAGCTCTCCTACAAACAGTACAAGCACCCGATGCGCCAGAAATACGTCATCCCCTCCCCGCACTATGGAACTCAATGACAGGGACTTGGTTGGAGTCTGTGTAAAGTTATTATTTATTTGTTTGTTTGTTTATTAAATTTATGAATCGCCCAGCTCCACAAGTGGGCTCTGGGTGATTTACAGGTAAAGGTAAAGATATCCCTTACTCGAAAGCCAGTTGAATCCGACTCTAGGGTTGCGGTGCTCATCTCTGTTTCCAAGCCGAAGAGCCAGCGCTGTCCAAAGACGTTTCCGTGGTCATGTGGCCGGCATGACTAAACACCAAGGTGCACGGAACGCTGTTCCCTTCCCACCGAAGTGGTACCTATTTTTCTTCTTGCAATTTCTTGCTTTCGAATTGCTAGGTTGGCAGGAGCTGGAATGAGAGACGGGAGCTCACTCCGTCTTGAGGCACACTCGGGTCTCGAACTGCTGAACTACCGATCTTCCACAGCCTGCAGTTCAGCGTCTTAACCACTTGAGCCACCGCAGCTCCCTGGGTGATTACAACCTTAAAAAGAGATAAAATACAGTCAGCATAATAAAATTATCACAATGCACTAATAAAACAACCGATTCAGGTGGCGATCAACCTCTTTTGCCGGCTGCAGTGCTCTCTGTGCAGCAGGGCAGGAAGGAGGATGTGGGGGCCATGGGAAGAAAAGGAGGGTGCCGGTCTTAACCGCTGCTGCCCTCAGCCAAAAGCCTGGCGGAACGTCTCTGCCCTACAGGCCCTGCGGAATTGCATCAGATCCCGCAGGGCCCTGATGTTGTTCGGCAGAGAGTTCCGCCAGGTCGGGGCCAGAACCGAAAAGGCCCCGGTCCTAGTCGCGGACAGCCAGACCTCCCTAGGGCCAGGGATCACCAGTAAGTTGTTATCAGCTGATCACAGCGTTCTTCTAGGGACGTATTAGAGGAGGCGGTCCTGAAGGTACGTGGGTCCCTGACCGCTCAAGGCCTTGAAATTCAACACTAATACCTTGAGCCTGACTCAGTATTCCACCGGTAACCAGTTGTAGCTGGTGCAGCACGGGTTGTATATGTGCTGTCCATGGCGTTCTCGCCAGGACTCGTGCCGCCACATTCTGGACCAGTCGGAGCTTCTGGGTCAGTCTCAAGGGCAGGCCAGCGTAGAGTGAGTTACAGTAGTCCATTCTGGAGGTGACAGTTGCATGGATTACCGTGGCCAGGTCGGGGCACAACAGGAAAGGGGCCAGCAGCCGTGCCTGGCACGGACAGTAAAATGCCAGTCTGGCAGTATTGGTGACCTGTGCCTCCATAGACAGGGAAGCATCTAAGGTCAGACTAGCTCACCTTAGAGGGAACACTGCTTAGCAGTCTTCCATCTTCAGACTGGGACTGTAGAGCCTTCGATCAAAGTGAGCAATTCTGTTTTAAGCGTGCCTCCCAAACCAATGCGAAGCTGGGCGGGGGGCTGAATGCCAGCGTCACGTGCCAGGCCCAGAACAGACCTTGAAGCATCCCCCTGCCTTAGAGGGTTGTCCTGAGGCTCGCCCGAGGCCACCCTGTTGTACTCCAACTTGACCCCCAAGCTCTGGCGAGGGACTATAAATACACATTGATGGGGTGTGGACTGGCGGAGACTGACCAGAAGAGAGATCTTGCAGTCGTAGTAGATAACTCAATGAAAATGTCAAGACACTGTGCAACTGCAATAAAAAAGGCCAACACTATGCTGGGGATTATTAGGAAGGGAACTGAAAACAAATCAGCCAGTATCATCATGCCCCTGTATAAATCGATGGTTACGTCCTCATTTGGAGTACTGTGTACAGTTCTGGTCACCACACCTCAGAAAGGATATTATAGCATTGGAAAAAGTGCAGAAAAGGGCAACTAGAATGATAAAAGGGTTGGAACACTTTCCCTATGAGGAAAGGTTAAAGCGCTTGGGGCTCTTTAGCTTGGAGAAATGACGACTGAGGGGTGACATGATTGAGGTTTATAAGATTATGCATGGGATAGAGCAGGTCGAGAAAGAAGTACTGTTCTCCCTTTTCCACAATACAAGAACTCGTGGGCACTCCATGAAATTGCTGAGCGGTCGGGTTAGAACATATAAAAGGAAATACTTCTTCACCCAAAGAGTGATGAACATATGAAATTCACTGCCACAGGAGGTGGTGGCGGCTACAAGCATGGACAGCTTCAAGAGGGAACTGGATAAACATATGGAGCAGAGGTCCATCAGTGGCTATTAGCCACAAGGTATAGATAGGAACTCTCACGCTGGGGCAGGTGATGCTCTGTATTCTTGGTGCTTTGGGGGGGGGGCGGGGAACAGTGGGAGGGCTTCTAGTGTCCTGGCCCCACTGCTGGACCTCCTGATGGCTCCTGGTATTTTTGGCCACTGTGTGACAGAGTGTTGGACTAGATGGGCCACTGGCCTGATCCAACATTGGCTTCTCTTATGTTCTTATGAGAGCTAGGCAGGGCAGCAAAAACACCCGAAGATATTTAAGACGTCTTCTCTCCTCTTCCCCGCCCCCCATCCTGGGCCTTGCAGGAACCGACAGCGTAAGCTGGGCACGAAGCTCCAGTGAACTCGGGACGCTCTGGAAGCGGACTGCACGACTCTTATCGACCAGAGTGGGGCCAGACTAGAGACCTGTACAGAGAAGCGGAGGAGGCTTTTAGGAGACGGACCAAAAAGGAACAAGCAGGGACCAGGTCCTGAAGATCCAGAGGCCTTGACAACTAGCTGGCTGCTCCTCGCTGCATGCTGGGGACCGTACTGGAGCAGAATCCATTTATACTGCAGTTGCACAGCGTTGGTTGGGATCTGACCCTCCTTTGGGGAGCAACCCACCAAGGGACGTTTCTTGCACAAGCCCCGCCCACCAAGCGAACGGGAGAGGGCCACAAGCCTCTTCCTTGTGCAGCTCCCGTTCCTTTTGAAACAAGGGCTTCTGTAAGACTGGACTCTGGTAGGTTGTGCTTGTGCATTCGGGAAGGCAGGGGAAGGGGAGTGGGGGGGAGGGTCTACGGAGGATATACCTAGTGTCTTGTTGATAGGAGGGAATAAGCATATATAGCTCTGTGACTTTTTATTAATTTCCCCACCCTCTTTTTTGCAGCATGAGATATACACACTATTTATTATTTTTTTAACAAACAAACAAACCCGGAACTGTTGGTTTTGCAAAGGCAGGGAAGGGAGTAACTGTTGATCATGAATTTTGGAAGGCGACACATTTAATCTCCGGCTGGGGGTCGGCAGTGACAGAAGCAGTGCCAAGCGGCCTTTTTGTTTTTAATTTTTCACTTTTTCATGACTGTTTGGGACATCTCGGTCCATCCTCGCTGCACTTTGTAACAAAAGGACTGAAGGTTTGCTTTTAACACTAGTGACACTTCTGCACGCAAAACGACACAAGATGGGGTGCACCCTGGGGGGGGGGACGGTGTGTGTGTGTGTGTCAACACAGTGGCAAAACCTGCACTACACTATCTTTTTTATTTTTCCTCTTTCAGATTCTTATCTGTTTACTGGGGACCTCCCCCCCCTTTTTTTGTTTTTGTTTAAACTGAGTGCCAAGAACTTGGTCTGCATTCCCAAACAAGATTTTCCTCTTTCCCCAATAATGTCTACTCAAATTTGCCATCTCTTTACACCCCTTCCCCTTCCCCTAAGGTCTTATCGCAAATTTTGTTACTGGTTGTTTTAAAATCCAAAAAAAAAAAAGGAAAAAAATTAAACCTTGAAGGAAGCCACTGTTAAGGCATACCGATGCTCTTCATGGTTTAGAATTAGCCCTAAGCTACCCCCCCCCAAAAAAAAACTTTTAAATACTCAATAAAATGTTTTTATGGTCAGTCTGTGCACCCTGTATTGATTGTCTTTCCAAATGTAAAATGGTTGTGAGTTTTTGTCAACCGAAAGGATGCTGCAGATCAGTGGCACCACTTCAGCTTTGTGTTGAGAGGATGGTAACAGTCAGGGGTCATTTCCTGCAGGAGCGCACAGGAGCGGAGCTCTGGCAGTAAAGAGCCCAGGGGGCGGGCACATGCAACAAGCCCCACCCCCTGCTCCCAGCAGCCCTCAGTCAGAGCAAGAAGCAGCCAGGTAAGTTGCAGAGCCCCCCCCCCCCGGCCCAAAACAGTGGCACATTTAAGATCTTGTTTTATTCGGGTACAAGCTCTCCCTCCTCTGCAAGGACAGATCTGCACGTGTCCCCCCCCCAATAGCTAGGAATCCAAAACAGTCCAGTGGCACCTTTAAGACCAAGTTTTATTCAGGCCCAAGCTCTCCCTCCTCTGCGAGGACAGATCTGCACGTCCCCCCCCCCGACAGCTAGCAATCCAAAACAGTCCAGTGGAGCCTGAGAGATGGGTGTTGCCTTCTGACACACTTCCGGTGATGTCAGGGGGCGTGGCATATGCAAATAAGTTATGCTAATGAGTTATGCTAATGAGCTGCACCTCTTTTTCTACGAAATGACCCCTGGTAACAGTATTAAAGCAAGTCCAAAAAATGATCCAAAAAACCCAGAAACCTGTATGCGTACTGCGCTTGCAAAAATAGTTTAAGTAATTAAAGTGACAGTGTGATCATCCAGAGTGTGAAAATACACACGATTAACATTTCACAAGGTAAGTACAAAAATAAGTAAATGGATGAGATGTTAACAATGACCTCTGGAATGTTCAACCGTTTCGATCGTAATCTTCTTCCGAACGAAGATGAAGAGTGTGCAGCGTCTCTAGTCAATGTCTCAACTGATACATATCAATAAGTCTCACTGAAGTGTCGTGACATCATTGTATAAGGTTCCCAATGATTCTTAGAAGGGCAAAAATGCACTTCACCGCGTTGCATACTCTTCATCTTTGTTCGGAAAAAGATTACTATCGAAACGGTTGAACATTCCGGAGATCATCGTTAACATCTCATCAATTTACTTATTTTTGTACTTACCTTGTGAAATGTTAAGGTAAAGGTTCCCTTGCTCGAAAGCCAGTCGAATCCGACTCTAGGGTTGCGGTGCTCATCCCCGTTTCCAAGCCGAAGAGCCAGCGCTGTCCGAAGACGTTTCCGTGGTCATGTGGCCGGCATGACTAAACACCAAGGCGCACGGAACGCTGTTACCTTCCCACCGAAGTGGTCCCTATTTATCTACTTGCAATTTCTTGCTTTCGAACTGCTAGGTTGGCAGGAGCTGGAACTAGGAACGGGAGCTCACTCCGTCATGCGGCACACTCGGGTCTCAGAACTGCTGAACTACCGACCTTCCACAGCCTGCAGTTCAGCGTCTTAACCACTCTGGGTGATCACACTGTCCCTTTAATTACTTAAACTATTTTTGTAAGCGCAGTATGCATACAGGTTTCCGGGTTTTTTGAACCACTTCAGCTTTAACAGGTGCGCCAAAGCAAGATCCACTTTCCGAGTCAAATACACAGCTTAGGGCAGGGTCCCCAGCAGTGGTCCCTCTAAGCTGAGTCAGTGTGAGCCAGCTCACAGTTTTTTAGCCTCCAGCTCACACATTTTTGGCTTAGCTCAGGAAGGAGGGCTCCAGAGCAGGCCTGCAGCTATCAAGGGGCCCACGGGGCCTGCCCCCCCCGTGTTTTTTGTAGGCCCCTCCCCCAATCCTCAGGTCCCCCTCCCTCACCCCGGCCCCCTCACCCACTGATCGGTCATCTTGTTGACACTCTGCTGACTGACTCGGGAGAGGAGCAGCAGGGCTTCCGGGGGGGGCGGGGCGGGGACAGAAAGAGCAGGCTCAGCATTGGCTGCCTTATTTGGAATAGTGGGCGGGCTCTAAGCAAAGAGCCCGCCAAATACAAGTTTAAGCCAGCCACCCCGCCACTTCCTCCAACTCCAGGCAAACTGCAGCAGCAGCAGAGCATGAGGATCTGAGCCTTCTGCTTGTCCTCCTGCACAGCCCTGGGCCATAGCTCCTCCTCCTCCTCCTCTTCCTCTGTCAGCAATTGCTTCGCCTTCAGCAGCTCAGCAGTCTTGGAGGAAGTCTCCTCTGCTGAGCCTGGTGATCTTCCGTGGGGCTGGGCTGGAATGACAGGCCGCTGGGGGTAGCAGGAGTGTTCTGGGACTGGAATGACAGGCCTGTCATTCCAGTCCCAGGACACATCTCCTACCCCCCTGGGCTGCCATTCCACTCTGGGGCCTGTCATTCCACTCCCAGAACGCTCCTGTAATTCCCAGGGGCC